CGATTACACCCAGCATTCCCCCCTCCGCGGTGCCCAATCTGTGTCTATTGTGCTTTCGGCTGGTCCTGGCCCTCTCTGCCCCATTTTTGGATTTGTATGAAATAGAAATCTGAGCCATTTGCTTATAGGAGGTCCATGAAAATGTCTCAAGCCACTTGGCAGTGTACAAATGTACAATGGTGTCAAGTGAGCATCTAGCCATTGTGGGATTTTTCGTTTTTTGTTTATTTGGGGGAGGGGGTGTCAGGCATATAGGTGAACCCACCTAAGGGTCACCAGTGAGTCAGCTGAGTCTGTAGTAATGTGTATTTAAAAAAAAAAAACATTTGTTATTGGTTTCAGCGAGGAAGAGAGTGGATAGATAGAAACAGCAGTGATGAGAGAGAACCGTGAATCGATTGCCTCCTGCACGTTCCCCAACTGGGGACTGAGCCCACGACCTGGGCATGAGAAGGAACCAGGGACCCTTCCATCTGCAGGCCGACACTCAGCCACACCAGCTCGGGCTGTTCCTGGCCCTGGTTGGCATGCATCATCCCTCATGCTGTTTGCAGTAATATGGCAAGTGGCCCCCGGACCATGACGAGGGCCAGTTAGCACGAGGAGTGATATAGTGAGATCTAACCCCCACCACATCCTCTCTCTGGGCCAGGCACCCTTGACATCTTCACACCCAGCACCTGATTTCATCCCCTCAGAAACCACATACGGAAGGCGCCGTGTTTCCATCCTCACTTGGCAAAGTAGACTTGGCAACGGGAGGATGAGAACCCTGGCCACAGCTGTTCTGGTTTGAGTGTCCCGGTGATCCAGCACCTGGGGCCGCGGCGCCTATAGGGCCAGCACCTGGGGCTTGTGTCTATAGATCCGGGACCTGTGTCGATGCCTACAGGTCAGCACCTGGGACAGTAGCCTGTGGGCTCAGCACCTGGGAGAGTGCAGCTTTCAGCACCAAGGATAGGGGCCATAGATTCAGCACCCAGGACAGTGTCTGGATTCAGACCCCAGTTCATCGGCTGGTAGATCTAGCACCCAAGACAGACACAGAATCTATGGGTTCAGAGCCTGGGACCCCCCACCTGCTTTTCCGTCCTAGACAGGAAGGAGCAGGAGGTGGGGTACGGGCGTGACTATGCCCTCGTGAGGTTGGGTTTGTAGCGACAGACACAGAGAGCGAAGACCCTCATTCGATGCACGCCTCTCTCTTCTACCTCCGCTCGGCTCTCCCCTGTTCTTGCGTTACCGTTGCTCCTTGGGGTGAGCAAACACCCCCACCCGCCTTGCTACCTGACCACCAAGTCTGTTGTCCATTGACCTGGAGACATGCCTACGCCCTCCCTGGGTAGAAAACAAACAAACAGGGTAAGACCGAAGCTTGACGATAAGGAAGCGTTTCCATTGAAAATGTCATTCTCGCCGAAACCGGTGTGGTTCAGTGGATAGAGCGTCGGCCTGCAGACTGAGGGGTCCCGGGTTCAATTCCGGTCAAGGGCATGTACCTTGGTTGCAGGCACATCCTGCAGTGGGGGGTATACAGGAGGCAGCTGATGGATGTTTCTCTCTCATTGGATGTTTCTAACTCTCTATCCTTTCCCTTCCTCTCTGTGGAAAATCAATAAAATATATATATTTTTTTAAAAATAAAAATAGTTAATCTTTAAATAATGTAAGTACTGTATTGTCACCCATTGGCATAGAAAAGCTTCGTGGGTAAATATTTCACAAAGGTTCTGTGCGCCCTGAACACATTTGGTAGCTGTCAGCTCTCGAGAATATAAAATTCCATAAGTCCCTTGGGTGAAGCATGTCAGCGGCAAGGTCAAGTCTCTTCTGCCCCTACGCCGATGACGTGTGATTTCATTATTACCAAGCACTTCTCCTCCTCGCTGGTGCGTGCCCTCGGCCCCCGAGCCCGTTCTGTCTGACAGGGACGGGCCACACAGCAGCTTTCTGCTGATTGCAATTTGCATAGTGTGTTCCTTTCCTACCGTTTGAATTAAAAAATTATCGGTGTCAGAGAGGAAGAGAGAAGGGGAGAGAGAGAGAGAGAGAGAGAGAGAGAGAGAGAGAGAGAGAGAGAGAGAGAGAAACAACAGTGATGAGAGAGCATCATGGATCAGCTGCCTCCTGCACACCCCACTCCGGGGATGGAGCCAGCCACTCAGGCTCATGTGCCCCTGACTGGGAATCGAACCTATGACCTCCTGGTTCCTAGGTCAATGCTCATCCACGGAGCCCGCCGGCACGGCGCCTACATTTAAATGTCACCTTTTCTGTGTCTGCACCTCGTGGACAGCTTCCACGGGCAGAGCATTCGTGAATTTGTCGTCCTCCGCCTGCCAACTCATTGCTCTGAACCGGAGCCTCTATTGTCTCTGCGTTTAATTGAATTAGCGGCTCCTGTAGGTGAGGGCCACCCCTCTCGTCTCGGGCCTGCTCCTTGCTTCCCACTCCTCCTTTTGCATTCCTTTAAAAAAAAAAATCAGCTTTTGGGAACTATGTCAAGAACCCAACCACTTCTCACCACCCGCACGGCTGCCATCCTCACCCGGACCATCCCCCTGGCTCCCCCACCCTCCTCCCCCCACCCTCCCCCCCAGCAGGAGGAGCCCCAAACCTCCTGACTCATCGCCTCGCAGCATCTCTCCTGCCACCCACTCCCCATCCGCCCTCGGCCATCTGCTCTCAGAGCGACAGCCAAAGCCGGCTACTTACACCACAGAAGCTCCCTCACTCGAGGCCTTGGCTCAAAAGGCAGCCGCGGCCCTGGCCCGCACTGCTCAGTGGGTAGAGCATCGGCCTGCGGCCTGAAGAGTCCAGGGTTCCATTTCACTCAAGGGCACAGGCCGGGGGTTGCGGGCTCCATCCCGGGGGGCGGGGAGGGGTGCGTGCCAGAGGCAGCTGATCCATGATTCCCTCTCAGCATCGATGTTTCTCTCTCTCTCCCCCTTCCTCTCTTTCTCCAATAAAATCAATAAAAACATATTTTAGCCCTGGCTGGTTTGGCTTAATGGATAGAGCATCGGCAGTGCTGACTGAAGGGTCCCGGGTTCGATTCCAGCCAAGGGCACATGTCTGGGTTGTGGGCTCGATCCTCAGGACGGGGGCATGCAGGAGGCAGCTGATCCATGATTCCCTCTCATCATCGATGTTTCTCTCTCTCTCTCTCTCTCTCTTTCTCTCCATCTCTCCTTTCCTCTCTCTCTCTCTCTCTATCAAATAAAAGCAATAAAAAAATTAAATGGGCTAGTAACCAAAAGCAAATATTCTAGGAGAGAAGCACTGGGGTTGGGGAGGGGGGCGGAGAATACTTAGACTTGAGGAACGAAAAGCAAGACCACCTGCAGTTGCCAAAACTGGTGTGGCTCAGTGGATAGAGCGTCAGCCTGCGAACTGAAAGGTCCCGGGTTCGATTCTGGTCAAGGGCATGTACCTTGGTTGCAGGCACATCCCCGGTGGGGAGTGTGCAAGAGGCAGCTGATGAATGTTTCTCTCTCATCGGTGTTTCTAATGCTCTCCCCCTCTCCCTTCCTCTCTGTAAAAAAAAATCAATAAAATATTTCTTTTTAAAAAAAATTCTGGAGGTGGACGGTGGGGGAGGCTGCCCAGCCGCAGGAGTGCCCCTCTGCCACCACGCTGCACGCTCACACAGGGCAGAACGGTGAGTTGCGTGTTACACGCGTGTTACCGCAATAAAGGGGGGAAAGTTGAGAGGCAGCACGTTGCAGCGGCGATTGGGGGAGATTAGAAACGGCGGCTGCGGCAGCATAACCACGATGGCGTGTCTCAGTTTCGGTTCTTGCAAGGGTATTTCTTGGATGGCCTGGTCTCACACACCTAAAGAAATGAATGGACAGCATAGACTGATGAACAAACACAGACTCAGAGACAGAGATGCAGCGATCAGACTCTCAAACCTCAGAGGGAAGGCAGGGGAGGGGTGGGGTAAAGGGGAGAGAGATCCACCAAAGGACTCGTGCGCATGCCTATGGGCCCGGCCAGTGAGCATGGACAACAGGGGGGTGGGGGCCCCCGTGGGGAGGGGTTTGGGATGGGGATGGGGGGATGAGGACAATATGTGACACCAAAATCAATAAAAAGAAATAAATAAATAAAAAGAAACGGCTGTAGGCTGTGGACGGCAGCAGGTAGGTGCCGGCTAACCTGAGCGCCGGTGAGAAGCCCCCGGAAGGAGGGTCCGGTGGCTGGCCGGTGGGCCAGCGTCTGCAGGCCGCGGTGTGGCCGTGGGCAGGCGGGCGGCTCAGCCCCACGGGCAGCCTCCTGGAAGGACCAGGGGCCACCCATGCCTTCCCGCCCGAGGGTGGTAGCGTAACGAGCCGTCTCCTCTGGTTTGTCCCCAGGCAGAGGTGACGAGAGGACAGACTCCCGGGCACGGCCAGGGGGCCTGGACGGAAGGAAGAAGACAGTCTCTTAGGTGGTGCCGCACACATCAGGTCCAACCATTTCCTTTTTTTAATATGTTTTTATTGTGGATGGTTTCACGATATCTCCCCTTTCCTCCCCCCTTCCCTCCCGTCCTCCAGGGATTCCATTTTTAAAGACAATATTTTTTTTTATTGATTTCAGAGAGGAAGGGGGAGAGAGAGAGTGAGAGATAGAAAGGACTGACAGGTCCCAGGTTCGATTCCCGGTCAAGGGCATGCGCCTTTGTTGCGGGCACATCCCCAGGAGGGGGTATGCAGGAGGCAGCTGATGGATATTTCTCTCTCATCGATGTTTCTAACTCTCTACCCCTCTCTCCCTTCCTCTCTGTGAAAAAACTCAATAATATATATTAAAAACAAACAAACAAAAAACGTATGTGTATATACCCTGGCGGGCGGGAGGGTTCCGCACGCTTCCAGGCACAGGGCCACGCCCATGACCTAGCCCTCTCCCGTGACCCCCGCTCTCCCGTGACCCCCGCTCTCCCGTGACTCCCGCTCTCCCGTGACCTTTGCTCTCCCGTGACCCTCGCTCTCCCGTCTCCCCGCAGATGGATGGTTTCTAGCCTGCTCCCCAACCCCACCTCGGCCGAGTGTTGGGCGGCCGTCCTGCGCGATCCCATGACTCTTGATATGGACGCGGTCCTGTCAGACTTTGTTCGGTCCACGGGGGCAGAACCGGGTCTGGCCAGGGACCTGCTGGAAGGTAGGCGTCCTCCCCGCGCCCCCACCTCCCTCTCGGGAGCCAGCGCCGCCCGGGGGCGAAGGGAGGAGGTCTCTCCCCGGGCAGCCGCGGCACGTGGGCTCCTGAGAACGTAAGGGAAGGCCCCGGTGGGGGACACGTGATGCTTGCTGTTTTTTAAATAACATTTTTATCGCGCTGACCGATGTGGCTCAGTGGATAGAGCGTCAGCCTGCGGACTGAAGGGTCCCAGGTTTGATTCCGGTCGAGGGCATGAACCTTGGTTGCGGGCACATCCCCAGTGGGGGGTGTGCAGGAGGCAGCTGGTCGGTGTTTCTCTCTCATCGATGTTTCTCCCTTCCTCTCTGAAAAAAAAAAAAAATCAATAAAATATATTTTTTTTAAAATAAATAAAGTCCATTTTTATTGACTTGAGGAAAGAAGGGAGAGGGAGAGGCACATCCATGATGAGAGAGAATCACGGATCAGCTGCCTCCTGCTCGCCCACTACTGGGGATGGAGCCCGCCGCAGCCTGGGCCTGTAGCCCTGGATCGGGAATCGAACCGGGACCCCCCGGCTCCACCTCCCGTGCTCTCTCGCCCGCAGGCAAGAACTGGGACCTGTCGGCCGCCCTGAGCGACTATGAGCAGCTCCGGCAGGTGCACACGGCCAATCTCCCACACGTCTTCAACGAGGGGCGGCCCCCCAAGCCGCCGGAGCGCCCGCCCGTCCAGCCCGGGCACAAGGCGGAGCGGGCCTGCCCGCCGAGACCGGAAGACAGCGCCCAAGGTGCCCGCCGCCGCCGCCGCCGAGGGTCCCCGCCCGGCCACCGCCCGGCCCCCCTCCTTCCCAGGCTGTCCCACCGAGAGCCCCTCCCGAGGGCCTGGGTTTCCCCGTATTCAACTCAAAAGAAAAACCAGGGCCTGGCCAGCGTCGCTCAGTGGGTAGAGCATCGGCCTGCAGACCGGGGGAAAAAAAGGGTCCCGGGTTCGATTCCGGTCAAGGGCACGTTCCCTTGGTCACAGGCTGCTCCTCAGCCCGTGCAGGAGGTAGTAACCCATCGGCGTGTCTCCCGTCGACGTTCCCCTCTGACTTTTCCCCTCCCTCCCGCTCTCTCTAACAATCCACAGGCTCGGTCCCCTGGAAGGGGTGTGCAGGAGCGGGGGGTCCGTGATTCCCTCCCATCCTGTTATTGGTTTTCTTACTAAGACGATTCTGACTCTACAGTCCTCACGTCTGCAATGATTTCACGTGCTTTCTGTTGACACAATGAAATCCACGTGCCTCCTGTTGCATTAGGACACACACTCACACACAGGTGAACACACATGCATGCACACTCACACACGTGTGCATGCACACACATGTAAACACACATGTGCATGCACGCACACTCACACGCGCGCGTGAACACACGCATGTGAACACACACGTGCATGCACGCACATGCACCTGCACACACTCGCACACACGCAGGTGAACACACATGCATGCACCTTCACACGCGCACATGCACACATGCACCTTCACACGCGCAGGTGAACACACGTGCACGCACGCACACTCACACACATGCGCACGCGCACACGCACACACGCGCAGGTGAACACGCATGCATGCGCGCACACTCGCACATGCGCATGCACACGCGCACGCACACAGGTGAACACACATCCATGCGCGCACACTCACACATGTGCATGCACACACACGCAGGTGAACACACACATGCATGCACGCACGTGCACCTGCACACGCGCAGGTGAACACACATGCACGCACGCACATGCACCTGCACACGCGCAGGTGAACACACATGCACGCACGCACACTCACACGCCCGCCGAGCCGTGGTGACTGAGCGTTGAGTTTGGCCCCGTTCGCCGGGCCCCAGCGCCCCGGCCGGACTAGAACCCTGGTCTCCCCTCCCTCCCCTCCCCCGCAGAGAAGCGCCTGTCCCGGGGAATCTCGCACGCCAGCTCCGCCATCGTGTCACTGGCGCGGTCCCACGTGGCCAGCGAGCGCAGCGGCGAGCAGTGCCCCCTGGAGATGCCCATCTACACCTTCCAGCTGCCGGACCTGAGCGTGTACAGCGAGGACTTCCGCGGCTTCATCGAGCGCGACCTCATCGAGCAGGCCACCATGGTGGCCCTGGAGCAGGCAGGTGAGCGGCCCCGTGGCCCGCGGGCCGGCCTCACCGGCCACGGAGCGCGGGAGGGACGCCTGTGGCCCTGGCCGGCGCGGCCCGGCGGTCAGAGTGCCAGCCCATGCACCGCGGAGTCTCGGGTTCAATTCCCCGTCCTGGTTGGGGTGTGTGCGGGAGGCAACCAATCCTTGCGTCTCTCTCCCATCAGTGTTTCTCTCTCTCTCTCTCTCTCTCTCTCTCTCTCTCTCTCTCTCTCTCTCTCTCTCTCTCTCTTCCCCTCTCCCTTCGCCTCTCTGGAATTAAAAAATAAAAGAAGGCCGAGACCAGTTTGGCTCAGTGGATAGAGCGTCGGCTTGGGGACTGAAGGGTCCCAGGATCGATTCCGGTCAAGGGCATGGACTTTGGTTGCGGGCACATCCCCAGTAGGGGGTGTGCAAGAGGCGGCTGATCGATGACTCTCTCATTGATGTTTCTAACTCTCTATCTCTCTCCCTTCCTCTCTGTACAAAATCAATAAAATATATTAAATAGAAATATTAAAAAAAAAAAAAAAAAGAAAAAAAAAAGAAAGAAAAGAAAGAAAAAGTAGCCACAAGGCCCCACCTTCCCCTGAGGTTCTGGAAACTCCTCTAGCCCTTCCGTGCGGCTCGGTGGATAAAGAGCGTTGTCGGCCTGCGGGCTGAAGGGTCCCGGGTTCGATTCTCAGTCATGGGCACACGCCCAGGATGGGCGTGCAGGAGGGCAGCCGATTTACGATTCCCTCTCATCATGGATGTTTTCCTCGCCCCTGTCTGCTCCCTTCCTCCCTGAAATCGATATAAATACATTTTTTTTAAAAAAAAAAGAACGCGGAATAAACCGAGCTTCTGCCGCACGCAGGTCGCCTGAACTGGTGGTCCACCGTGTGCACCAGCTGCAAGCGGCTCCTCCCTTTGGCCACGACCGGCGACGGGAACTGCCTCCTGCACGCCGCCTCCCTGGGTGAGCCACGGCGGGGGCGGGACGGGGGCACGAGACACGGAAAACGCACGAGGAAAGGCCTGTCGGGATAGGAGGAGGCCCGAGGGGAACTGCCCCTGGGATGGGGATCACGAGAAATCCAGGGGGACTTCCTGGAGGAGGCGGGGTTTTACTGAAACTCAAAAGAAACTGAGTGAAAGCGCGGGAAAGAGGCCCGGCCGGCGCGGCTCTGTGGCTGAGCGTCGACCTACGACCCAGGAGGTCAGGGTTGGATTGCCCGGGCAGGGCACGCACATGCCCCGTCGGGTTGCGGGCTTGTAGGAGCATGCCGGAAGCAGCCAGTCCATGATTCCTTCTCATCATGGATGTTTCTCTCTCCCTGTCCCTGCCTCCGAAATCAATAAAAATATGGGGGTTTTTTTTGTTGTTTTTTGACAAAAAAAAAAGGGGGGGGACATTCCAGCCCTGGCTGGTTTGGCTCAGTGGATAGAGCGTCGGCCTGCGGACTGAAAGGTCCCGGGTTCGGTTCTTGTCAAGGGCATGGACCTTGGCTGCGGGCACGTCCCCCGTGCGGGGTGTGCAGGAGGCAGCTGATGGGTGTTTTTCTCTCTCACCGATGTTTCTGACTCTCTAACCCTCTCCCTTCCTCTCTGTGAAAAAAAATCAATAAAAATATATTTTTTTTTTAAAAAGTGGGGCGGGGGGCGGGGGACATTCCAGGCAGGGGCCCACGTGGGTGACGCAGGGGGGCGGGAACTCACAGGGCGCGTGGAGGCCGGGAGCACAGCGGGCGGATGGTGGGAGCCGCGGTGACGGACAGGTTGGCTCTGTGCCCGGACCTGGGAGGTTCAGCCTCGGTGGCGGGCGCCCCCTCCCGCCTGCCGCCCTCCTCACACCCGCCCCGTCCCCGCCGCAGGCATGTGGGGCTTCCACGACCGCGACCTGGTCCTGCGAAAAGCCCTCTACACCATGATGCGGACGGGGGCCGAGAGGGAGGCCCTGAAGCGGAGGTGGCGCTGGCAGCAGACGCAGCAGAACAAGGAGGTGGGTGCCTGCCACCGCCCCCCCCCCACGCTCCCCGGGACCCCCACCTCCTCCCCCGGGCGCCGCCGTGGGCCGGAGGGGGGCAGCCGGGAGCCGGGTCCGTCCCTGAGGGCGGGCGGGCGGAGCCGTGGCTTCCGGGACCATAAGGCACCCCGGCCTCAGAGGTGGACCCACGGAGGGTGAGACCAACCACCCAGGGGGGGCAGTTCGTGTGTAAGCGGGGGCAACTGGAAAAGGCGTCATCACACTGAGCATTTGGCGTGTCTCACGGTGCGAGGGGCCGCCTATGCAGCCTGTAAAATTACACGGTGACACATGTATGCCTCTCGGTTCTCTCTTACGTTTTGAAACTGTATTTGCTATTTTTTTCATAGCCCTTCATATCATTATTTTTTTAAAAAAAAACAATTACTTAGTGATTTCTCCCTCAGCGTGTCCCCTGAAAGCTATTGTCAGACACGGGGACGGTCGGCTGCCGCTCACCGGAGTGCCCGCCAGGGTGGCCCGGCTGGCGGACCTGGCCGGGGAGAGGGGCAGGGCCGCCCCCAGTGACCCCGCGTCCTGTGCCAGTCAGGGCTGGTGTACACCGAGGACGAGTGGGAGCGGGAGTGGACGGAGCTGCTCAAGCTGGCCTCCAGCGAGCCGCGCACGCACTCCGGCAAGAACGGCGGGGGCTCGGGCGGCGGGTAAGTGTCCCCTTCCTCCCCACTCCCGGCTGCCCCTCTCTCTGCGGGCCAGGGCGACGGGGGGACCGGTACCGGGGAGCACGTGTCCGGAGCAGCCTTCTCGCCGCCCTCGTCCGTGGGGGGGTGTTTCTTAGAAAGCCCCTCAGCCCTGGCTGGTGTGGCTCAGTGAATAGAGTCGGCCCGAGGACCCAAGGGTCCCAAGTTCGATTCCCAGTCAGGGCACAGGCCCTGGTTGCGTTGCAGGCTCCATCCCCAGTAAGGGGCGTGCAGGAGGCAGCCGATCCATGACCCTCTCTCCTTCACGGGTGTTTCTCTCTCTCTTTCCCTCTTTGACATTAATTAAAAATTTTTTGGGGGGAAAAAAAAAAAAGCCCCTCCCTCAGACCTCGGTAGCCACGGCCCCAGCAGCCCGTCAGCCACGCCTCAGCTCGGTGAGGATTGAGCCCACGTGCGAGGAGCAGAGGGAGGTGGGGACGCCAGCCTCCCTCTCCTGCCCCTGCCGTGTCCTCCTCCGCTGACCCAGGGAGTCGCCCCCCATGTTCGCACGAGCTGGCTGCCCCCTCCGCCGGAAAGACCTCCGGGCTTTGAGGGGGGAGGGAGGGGGGAGGGCACAGGGGCCGGTGCGTTTGTCACCCGCTGGGCGGTGGGAGGAAGATGGACTGGCCAGGGTCCGCGGCAGTCCGATCGGAGGGAGGCGTCCACTCCCCCATCGGCGCCCTCCCTGCCCCGCAGCGTGGACAGCGCCGAGGACCCCGTGTACGAGAGCCTGGAGGAGTTCCACGTGTTCGTGCTGGCCCACATCCTGAGGAGGCCCATCGTGGTCGTTGCTGACACAATGCTGAGGGACTCGGGCGGAGAAGGTGGGTCCCCGCCGCGCCCGGAAGCAGGGCCGCGGGGGCGGGGGCGGGGGGCGGGGGGGGGGCGTCTGGAGAAACCCGAGGGGCTTCCACTGGAAGCACGCAGGGGATGCTGCCCGGCGTGGCTCAGGGGTTGAGCGCCTGGCCTGCGAACCAGGAGGTCAGGGCTTGAGCCCCAGTAAAAGGGGGCGTGCAGGAGGCAGCCGGTCCCTGATTCTCTCTCCTCATGGATGTCTCCCTCTCCCTCCCTCTCTGAAATCAATTTATTGGTTATATATTTTATTGGCTTTTTCACAGAGAGGAAGAGGGAGGGACAGAGAGTTAGAAACGTCGACGAGAGAGAGTCATCGACCAGCTGCCTCTTACACACCCCTTACCGGGGATGTGCCCGCAACCAAGGTCCATGCCCTTGACCGGAATCGAACCCGGGACCTTTCCGTCCACAGGCCGGCGCTCTATCCACCGAGCCACACCGGTCTCGGCTCTCTGAAATCAATTAAAAAAAAAAAAAATATATATATATATATATATATATATATATATATATATATCCCGTATTTTCCAGCGTATAAGACGACCCCTAATTTTACAGTTAAAACATAGGTTGAGGCCTATATTCGCTGTAGTATAAGACTACCCCCCACTTCCGAGGCGACACCAGTTCTTTTTTCAATTAAATTTTTAATGAGGTGACATTTCTTCCGAACGTACCGTGACATACTGTGTACATTGATCCCGTACATCGTTTCAAAACGTCGTCTTACACGCCGGAAAATACGGTGTATATGGAACCGGAAGCCCCTCCAGGACCTCCTCGGAGGAACCGGGGGCCCCCCGCGGCCGGCCCCCCGCGGGGCGGGGGCGCCGTCCACGCCGTGTCCCCGCCGGCTCCCCACGCCCTCACCGCCGCGTCTGTGTCCGCAGCCTTCGCCCCAATCCCGTTCGGAGGGATTTACCTGCCCCTGGAGGTGCCTCCCAACCGCTGCCACTGCTCCCCGCTGGTCCTGGCCTACGACCAAGCCCACTTCTCCGCCCTGGTGTCCATGGAGCAGCGGGACCAGCAGCGGGAGCAAGGTAGGCCCGCCGCCGCCGCCGCTGCAAGGCCACCCACGCGCGGGCGCCGGGGGCTGCCGCCGGCCGCGAGGGGCTGGGGGCCTCCCCGGGAAGCACGCCCAGGGCCTCCCTCCCGGTCAGGGCACAGGCCCGGGTGCTGGGCTCGGCCCCGGTGTGAGCCGTGCGGGAGGCGGGGGATCCATGACTCCCTCATGGAGGACGTTTCTCTCCCTCCCTCTCCCTGTCCCTCCTAAACGCTGGGCACTGGGAAGCGTAGCCAGGGGGTGGGTAGGCCGTTCCGGACGCCCGCGGTGAACCCACAGAAACCGCCTCAAGCCGAGTACTGTTCTAGCCCCCCGTGGTCGGCAAACCCGTGAGCCCAGCCAAAGCCGGGGTGGCTCAGCGGATAGAGCGTAAGCCTGCGGACTGAAAGGTCCCGGGTTCGATGCCGGCCAAGGGCACGTACCTCGGTGGTGGCAGGTTCGATTCCCAGCATGGTGGGGGCGCGTGCGGGAGGCAGCCAGCCCATGCCTCTCTCACGTGGATGTTTCTCTCTGTCTCTCCCCCTCCTCTCCCTTCCATTCTCTCTTAAAAAAAAAATAATAAATCAATGGGAAAATATCCTCGGGTGAGGAGTAACAACAGTAAAATGGTGTCCTGGACCCTGGGGTTCGGCAGGCTGAGTGGGGGCCTCTCCCCAGGATGGCACTTCCTCCTTAGCAGCACCAGAGGGCAGCCTTGAGTCGGTGTGATGGCGGTGCCCCCCTGCCGTGCCCGGCCTGGGATTCTGCTTGTGGTCTGGCCTTTTGTTCTGCGGGGAATCCGGGGGGCCTGACCGGGGGGTGCCTGGCCGGCCCCTGGAGGGAGTGGGACCTGGAAGGAGGAGGAGGAGGAGGAGGAGGAGGAGGAGGGAGGAGGTGGCAGGCCCAGGGCAGGGGCAGGGCCTGGGGTTCGAGAACCCCATAGGCTCACCTGTAGCTGGATCCGGACCAGGCTACATCTGGCCGCCAGAGGAGACGCAGGAGAGGGGCCCAGGGCTTGCCCTGAGAGAAGGGGCCCGGGCCCAGGGCTGTGGGCTCAGCCATCTTCCCCACCTGTTTGGGGAGAGGGGGTGCCCTCACATCTGCCTCCTAGGCGGGTGGCGTGGCGGTGGTGGGGCCCAGCAGAGGGACAGGAGGCCCACCCCCGAGCCTGCAAGGGAACTCTTTTGCGCCCTGTGTTCCCCGGGTGGAGGAATACGCTCGACCCCTCCGAACACAAACTCTGGGTGTTTTGGGGTCAAACCCTGTGTTCAAAATAAGACCGCCGGAGGCTGGCGATGGATTAAAAAAAAAAAAAAAGCAGGCAAGGATTTATTGAAATAAATAAAGCACTGCACGCCGGTGGCCACCCTCACGTCCGCACCGTCGCGGGTGTAGGCGGTCCTTTTCAAGCGTCCAGACCACAGGAGACTTCTCCTCCGTTCTGAACGCTAAACTCTAAAGGCTGGGAACAGCCCCGCTGGACGTCGGGAGGTGGCCCTGTGTCTCGCCATAGCCGGTAGCGCAGGAGCAGAGCTCCGCGGTTAGCCTCTCAGGGTTGCCTGCAGTTTCTACCCCCGGAGCTGCCAAGTCCGTCCGTGGGAATCCATCTCCTGTGGTCCCGGGCCACGGGCACAGGGGAAACTGCCTCAGCCTCCAGGTCTCCACCTGGGAGAGCTGAGGTAACTAAGCCTGCGCTTAAGCAGGTGCAGGAGCCACACTCAAAAGGAAAGGTTAAGATTCAAACAGCAGTTTTTATTATACCCGAGGATGGTCGCTACTGCATTTCACTGGGCAAGTCCCCACGCAGCTCCGTCTGCGAGGTGGGAACACCACACGGGGCTGGCGGGGTTCATGAGACACCTGTGTGGGTCCTTGGGGACCTCCCCCCGCCCGGGGGGAACCCCGAGTCCTGTGGTCCTGGCGCCCCTGCGGCAGGCACAGATGTTGTCTGGCTCCCTCGGCCTGGCTCAGTCACGGAGACGTCTGGTCTTGGAACTCCCTCTCCCGCGCTCCCTGGGGTTGTGGGGCAGGAAAGGGGGAGGTGGGGGGACCTCTAGCCTCGCCTGCAGCCGCCCTGGGCCCCCCGGCAGCGCGGCAGCGCCTCTGTGTCTTCCCTTCCAGCCGTGATCCCGCTCACGGACTCGGAGCACAAACTGCTGCCGCTGCACTTTGCGGTGGACCCGGGGAAGGACTGGGAGTGGGGCAAGGACGACAGCGACAACGCGCGCCTGGCGCAGTAAGCCCCGCCCCGCGCCCCCTCCGCCTCCCCCCCGCCCGCCCCGCCCCAGGCCCTCCCTCCCGGCCCGCGCCCCGCCTGCGCCCCGGTGAGCCGCTCCCCGCCGGGTCACTCCCGGTGTCTTCCGTTCCCCGCAGCCTGATCCTGTCGCTCGAGGCCAAGCTGAACCTGCTGCACAGCTACATGAACGTGACGTGGATCCGGATCCCCTCGGAGACGCGGGTGAGCCCGGCGCGCGCGCGGGCCCGGGAGGCGGCGGTGCGCACCCGGCAAATGGGCGGGGCGCCTAGCGGAACCGAGGCTTCCTCCCAAACACTGGGTCCCAGGAGGGGCTCACCTGCTGCGGGCTACGCTGGGGACCCCGAGACCCCCCCTTCCCCCCCTGGCCCAGCTTTGCAGGCAGGGCTCTGGCGGGACGAACTTCCGGCGATTCCCATGCGCGTGGGTGCGCGGGCAGGCGCGCTTCTGCCAGGGTTTGTTTGCTTTTTGTTTTTGTTTTTGTTTTTTCTCTCCTGCGTTTCCCCCGGGAGCGAATACACACGCCCACTCCGGAAACACACCGTGGGCGAGTCCCCGCGCCAACGAGGTCTGCGAGATGCGGATCAGGTGCTGCGCGGGGCGGGCGGGTCCTTGGGGAGCCGGGCCTCAGGCCCCGCGCGCTGATCCTCCGCGCGCCCCGCATCTCTCCCGCGCTTCCCGGTGCCGGAGGGAGTCGCTCTGAGTATCTGGCGATGTTTTGTTAGCTCAGGAGTGAATCCTCAGGGAAAGGGGCTTGTTTAAAAAAAAGAAAGAAAGAAAGAAAACGTGCAAATACCTGGTCCTCCCAGACGTCAGTTTTTTTTGGTCGTACAGAGGGGATGGTGTTCAAGGCAGCATGAGGCCCAGGACACGGGGCGCTCACTGCTCCTAGCGCTTCCACACTTCAACCTTTACCTGTAATTTTTTTAAAAAAATATTTTATATTGGTTTTTAGAGAGAGAGGGAGGGAGAGGGAGAGATAGGAACATCCAGGATGAGAGAATCGTGGACCGGCTGCCTCCTGCATGCGCCCTCGTGAGGATGGAGCCTGCAGCCCAGGCCGGTGCCCTGACCGGGGATGGAACTGGGGACCCCGCTTGGTTCATGGGTGGATGCTCACCCACAGAACCACGCCGGGCCCTTTACATGTATGCGATGCTCACAGCGGGCAGGTAGATAGATACCTGTTTCCCCGCTGGCACTCATGATGGTCGTGATGGTCGGTGGCAGCCTGGCTCCCGGATTCTGTGTGCCCCGTCAGGTGCCCGCAACCTGCCTCGCACCCAGGAGAGGTGCGAAGGCTATGCCTCCAGACCTAGAATCCAGGGACTTGGGGGGCGAGTGAGCTCTTGTTTCTGCAATGAGCAGGCCCAGGCTATGATGACCCCGCACCTGACGTGGGGCCCTGAGCAGACAGACAGACAGACGGGCGAGGGCCCTCTCTGCCCTCGGGCACCTGAGCCTCTGCGCTCCCCGCGCAAGGGCCTTCCCTGAGTTCCCCAGAGCTGCCTGGGGCTCCGGACCAACCGGGATGCCCGCAGGGTCTCTCATGGGTCCCACCGCAGGGGGGAGGGAGGGACAGCTCCTCTCTGACCCTCCTCCTGCCCCGCCCTCCCTCCCTCTCCGCCTCCTCCCCTCTCCCTTCTCCCCTCCCCTCCCACAGGCCCCCCTGGCTCAGCCGGAATCCCCCACGGCCTCGGCCGGCGAGGACGTGCAGTCCCTGGCCGACTCCCTGGACTCGGACCGCGACTCGGTGTGTAGCAACTCCAACAGCAACAACGGCGGCGGCGGCGGCGGCAAGCACCCCGGCGGCAAGGACAGCAAGGACAAGGACAGCAAGGACAAGGACAGCAAGGACCACAAGGAGAAGACGCGCAAGGACAAGGACAAGGCGCGCGCCGACTCCGTGGCCAACAAGCTGGGCAGCTTCAGCAAGACGCTGGGCATCAAGCTCAAGAAGAACATGGGCGGCCTGGGCGGCCTGGTGCACGGCAAGATGGGCCGCACAGGCTCGGCCAACGGCAAGAGCGGCGCAGGCGGAGGAGGCGGAGGCACCGGCGGCGGCGGCGGCGGCGGCGGCGGCGGGGACGCAGCGCCCCCCGAGCGCACCAAGGACCACCGCAAGGCCAAGTCGCGCAAGGGCAGCAAGGAGGAGTCGGGCACGTCCGCCAGCAGCACCTCGCCGTCGGAGAAGACGGCCACGCCGTCGCCCACGGACAAGGACAAGGCGGACAAGGCGGGGCCCCGCAGGGAAGACGCCTGGAAGTACAGCACCGACGTCAAGCTGAGCCTCAACATCCTGCGCGCCGCCATGCAGGGCGAGCGCAAGTTCATCTTCGCCGGCCTGCTGCTCACCAGCCACCGGCACCAGTTCCACGAGGAGATGATCGGCTTCTACCTGACCAGCGCGCAGGAGCGCTTCAGCGCCGAGCAGGAGCAGCGGCGCAGAGAGGCCGCCGCCGCCGCCGCGGGCGCGCCGCCCACCGCCAAGCGGCCGCCGCCGCCGCCCCGCAGCACCAGCAGCAGCAGCAGCAGCAGCAGCAGCTGCAGGCCCGAGCCCGAAGGCGCGCCCGCGGTCCCCGAGCGCCCGCCGGCCGTCCCCGAGCGCCCGCCGGCCGTCCCCTCGCCAACCACGCAGCTGGTGCTGAAGTTCAAGGAGCGCCCGAGCCCCGGGCCCGCGACGGTTCCAAGGGCGGTGCGCGCGGCGGTGGCCGGCGGCGGCACGGCCTCCCCGGGCCACGGGAGCGCACGGCGCGCCGGTGCCAGCGCCAGCGGAGCCGTCCTCGGGCGCAGCCCCCCGGCGCGCCAGAGCGTCATCCACGTGCAGGCGCGGGACGAGGCGTGCGCCCCGGCCGTGGGCGCGCTGCGGCCCTGCGCCACGTACCCGCAGCAGAACCGCTCGCTGTCCTCGCAGACCTACAGCCCCGCGCGCGGCCGCGCCGCCCCGGCCGCCGCCGCCGCTTCCCTGCGCACCGTCCACACCGTGGAGTCGCTGGCGCGCGCCGTGCCGGGGGCCCTGGCGTGCGCGGCGGCGGCCGGGGCGGGGACTTCCTCAGCGGCCGCCGAGCCCAAATCGCAGACCTACACCAACGGCTTCGGGGGCACCGCCAGCCTGGAGTTCGCGGACGCCGACACGCCGCCCCCGGTTGCGCCGCGCCCGATCGGGGAGGGTGGCCGCGCCGCCGCCGCTTCCGCCCCCGCCCCCGGGCCGGGCCCGCTACAGCAGCGGTGCCTGCGGGACAACTGCTCCTTCTACGGGCGCGCCGAGACCGAGCACCTGTGCTCCTACTGCTACCGGGAGGAGCTGCGGCGCCGGCGGCATGAGGCGCGCGGGGGGCCCCGGCCCTGAGCGCGCGCCCCACCCTGCCCCTTGGAGAGGGGAAGGAGGACGCGCGCGCTCTCCACGCGCGCCCTCGCTCTCGGTGTCTTTTTCCCTTTTTACGCGCGCGCCCTGGCCACCCCGGAAGGCCTGGCCGGCGACCCCGCGTGTCAGCAGCAGCGCCGTGTCGGGGTCCCACAGTGCCTCCTGATGCCCGGACCTCCTCCTCCACAGACCCCACACTCAGGTAGTAAGACGGATAGGAGACAAGTCATACCGCCGCCGGCAGCTGTGGGTGCGCGCCTGCTCGCATCCGCCTCGCCCCGTGGACACACTCACACAGCCATGGCAACAAGTATTTTTTTGTTCCGGAATAAAGGACATGGGCAGCCCTTTGTTTTTTGTTTTTGTTTTTGTTTTAGAAAGGAGTGTTTTTTACATCTTTCATTTTTTATGTTTATTTTTTTTTCCTTTTTTTTCCTACGTCAGCCACTGACCTCTTCCATGCAAGTGGCCACGTGTGTGCGCTCTCGGGGGCCACTCTGGATGGATGGAGACGCCGGGACTGCGCGGTGGCCGCTCCGGCTGGTGCGCGCCACCTGCTTCCCCTCCGTGGACGCTCTGGGGGCTCCCTGTGGCCCTCCCTGTAGGCTCTCCATCTCATCAGCAAAGCCTCCTCCCACAGGGTCCCCCTCCCCGCCCCGCTGCTGGAGCACCACTCACACTGCCATCCGATGGGCACCCGGAGGACAACCTACCTCGCAGGGCGCGCGCACGCGCGCGGTGAGGCGTGGCGATGGATGGCCCCGGGAGATGGGCAGCTCAGGCGGCATCACAGCTCCAAAGACTCCTCCTCGGGTCCCCCGAAAGCCAGGCTCCGAACTGCCCCAGCTCTGAGCCAAGTCTCCCCCACAAGACTGTCCCGTGGAGGCTGGTGCCCCACGGTGGGAGAGGAGAGGCGGGACACGGAGCCTTCGGTCACTGTGGAAGTCCCCCACGAGGCTGCTCCGACACCAGGCTGCGCCTCTTTCCCACCCCCACCCCACCCCACCCCACCCCACCCGCCTCTGCCTGGGTTCAGCCAGGCACAGGGCAGCCATGCCTATGGGGTGGGGTTTAGGGGGGTAGGGGGGCGTCCCCCTGCCCCTGGCTCCATACCACATGGAGGGGGCAGCCCCCTCTCGGAGGGGCCCCTTTTTTTGGTGCCTCCTACATTTTTTTCTTGAGGAAAAAAACAAAAAAAGAAAAAAAAAATGTGTCCTTAGCTATAGCCCGTTTTGTGCAGCAATAGGCAGCCCCCGGCGCCCACGTTTACCTCTGGAGTCTCTCGGCCCTGGCCCAGGCCGCAGCGTCCGCCCTGCCTGGCTGAGAGGGGAGCCCTCGTGACCAAGAGAGACGGAGGAGAAGACGGGGACCCTCGCGGCCAGGGAGCGGAGCTCAGGGGAGCCTCTCAGGAGACACCCCCCCCCCCGCCGGGGGACCCTCCCGCAGGGGATGCGCCCAGGGGACCCCCTGGAAGGGCAGGAGGCAGACACCAACTCGCCATCGCCATCGGAGCCCGCGTCTCCTCCAGAGAGGACGCTTATCCCGGACATAAAAGAGCAGCAAAAAACTAAAAAAAAAAAAAAAAAAAAAAATTATATACATATATATACATACATGGGAGGGAGGGGATTATTTTTTACTTGTTTGAAGAATTATAATAAACTAATTTGAGTATCTCCTGCGAGTGATTCTTTCTTGTTTGATTGTTTTCAAAATGTGTTTTGATTATCTCAGAGGGGGCGGGGCCCTGGGGCCAAGGTCAGGCCGGTGCTGCCCTCTGGTGGGGAGGCATATATATAAGCATCAACCAATGAAGGCAATAGTCCTAGGGAAAGCCAAGCCAGGTCTCACACTCTCTCTCTCTCTCTCTCTCTCTCTCTCCCATAAATACACTTAAAAAATAAAAACCCTGCAAGCACTCCTAAATGACACAGCTGTTTTTGCATCCTTCGCAGCTTTCGGCTGCAAACCCCAACACAGAATTATTCCAAGTGGGGTTCCCCTGCAAGGATCCCCTGCTCCTCCTGCCACGCCCAGGACGGAGGACCCACCTGCTGGTCCCCCGGCCCCGCTCGGTGTGGGAGCGAGGAGGAGACAGGCCTTCCCATGGGAGTGGGGCCCTGGAGGATGTGTGTGTGTCTTTCCTGGGACTTCCCTCTCACACCCACGCTTCCTCTTTCCCTGGCATCTCGTGTCTGGTGGTTCCAGAGGTCAGGATGCGACCCACATGGGGCGGCTGGGGAGCCCCCCCCTTCTCCTCCGGTCAGCGGGGTGCTCGGGGGACCCCCGCTGGCGGCGGGGGGGGGACGGTGTGGTGGGGAGCAGAGACCTAGAGGTGAGCCTGGGTGGCGGGGAGTTTCCCAGGGGGGTCATGTGATACCCTGCCCACCCACAGGAGGGCTTGTGGGTCCCCAGGATGTGGACCGTCTGGCTCCTGTTTCCCCCACTCCTGTTCTCTGCCCTCTGCTCAGGGCCTCCTCCCCTGTCTCATGGCCGTCCCCCCACCCCGTACCCCCCAAAATCTGTAGCCTTAGCTCCCAATTCCCTCTATACCCCCCAAAATCTGCAGCCTTAGCTCCCAGTTCCCTCCATACACCCCAAAATCTGCAGCCTTAGCTCCCAGTTCCCTCCATACCCCCCAAAATCTGCAGCCTTAGCTCCCAGTTCCCTCCATGCCCGCCAAAATCTGCAGCCTTAGCTCCCAGTTCCCTCCATACTCCCCAAAATCTGCAGCCTTAGCTCCCAGTTCCCTCCATACCCCCCAAAATCTGCAGCCTTAGCTCCCAGTTCCCCCCACCACCCTCTGTCCCCACCCCAGGGCCCAAGAGGGAGAGTTGGTCACAATCAGGACCTTGGGGGCATGCAGGCCTGGAAAACACACTCCCTGCTTGTTTGCGCTTGAAATAGAACTGGGGGCATTTTTCTTTCTATTTATTTTATTTTTTTAAATATATTTTATTGATTTTTATTTTATTTTTTATTTTTTTTACAGAGAGGAAGGGAGAGGGATAGAGAGTTAGAAACATGGATGAGAGAGAAACATCGATCAGCCACCTCCTGCACGCTCCCCACTGGGGATGTGCCTGCAACCAAGGCACATGCCCTCAACCGGAATCGAACCCGGGACCCCTCAGTCCGCAGGCCGACGCTCTATCCCCTGAGCCACACCTGTTTCGGCTATTTTATTTTTTGTTAATATATATGTATATATTTAATTGATTTCAGAGAGGAAGGGGGCGGGGATGGGAGGAGAGAGAGAGAAACATCCATGGTGAGAGAGAAGCCTCCTTCTCATTCTCACAGCCAGAGGGGCTCAGCCCTGCAGGGACGCCCTGGGGCCCGCGTGGTTTCCTGGCTGAGCTTCGACCTCTGAACCCAGAGGTCACGGTTCTTCTTCTTCGACTCGCGGTCAAGGGCACAGGCCCGGGATGCAGGCTCCATCCCAGGCAGGGGACGTGCAGGAGGCAGCGGGTCCATGGCTCTCTCTCGTCATGGATGCTTTTCTCTCTCTCTCTCTCTCCCTCCCTCCCTCTCCCTTCCTCTCTCTGAAATTTAAAAAAAAAAAAATCTTACAGAGAAAACCCTAGTGGCTTCCGTGTCTTTTACCATCACCCTGAGAACCAGCCCCTCCCTCCCGCCTCTAAGCCCCACAGGACACCAAACCAGAGACAGACACTTCAAAGCAGCCACCACGGCCCTGCCCAGGGCCGTCAGATACACACAGGAAGGAAGTGGCCTGGTGATTCAAAGCAGCCGGGCCCAGAGGTCTCCAGGAAGAGAAACATTTTCCAGCAAAGCCCGCCCTGGCTGTGGTTTGGAACACCATTCCAGACGGAGCCCGGGCCAGCCTCCCCCTGCCGACCCCCTCCCGCCCGCGTCCTGTCTGTCTGTCTGTCTGTCTGCCTGCCTGCCGGCTGTCTAGACACAGTAACCGGCCAGGCACACACTCCCACAGGGAGGAACCAGACCTCGGCCAGGCCCCCGGGGTCCCCATGTCCCCCCTGCTGAACCGCCGGCAAAACCCTTTTTCATTCTTTCTCTTTTATATTTTCATTAATGTCAGGGAGGAAGGGAGAGGGAGAGAGAGAGAAACATCCATAAGGAGAGGCAATCATGGATCGCCTGCCTCCTGCACGCCCCCTCCTGGGGATGGAGCCCGCCACCCAGGCCTGTGCCCTGACCGGAATCGAACCCGGGACCCCTCAGTCCGCAGGCCGACGCTCTATCCCCTGAGCCACATCGGCCAGGGCGATCTCTCTGCTTTTAAAAGGATGTGTTTTTGTTTTGTTTTTTTATCGATTTCAAAGAGAGGAAGGAAGAGAGGGAGCGAGAGAGATTTACCACTTGGGCAAGTTTTTTTTTTTTTTTAAATATATTTTTACTGCCCGGTCCGTGTGGCTCGGTGGTTGAGCTTCGACCCATGAACCAAGAGGTTATAATTCGATTCCCGGTCAGGTGCCCGGGTTTCGGGTTCGGTCCCTAGGGTGTGGCGTGCAGGAGGCAGCCGATCCATGATTCTCTCTCGTCATGGATGCTTCTCTCTCTCTCTTCCCCTCTCCTCTCCCTTCCTCACCGACATCAATTTAAAAAAAAAAAAAAATCAATTTAAAAAAACAAGAATCCGCGCTAGCCCGTCCGATAACGAATCATAAAGGTTTTATTTCGAAACATGTAAACGTCACTAAACATGCATACACGTCAACACAATCGAATGCACAATTCCGTTCCTTTTCTTTCTTTCTTTCTTTTTTTTTTTTTTGCTTTTGCTGTTTGCATAGGAGAGACCGTCGTGACAATATAGACTTCTGTGCCGTACAAAATACATACAAAGTTCTGTCGGCGCGGGAGGCCGGGGCCGGGCGGGGGGGGGGGGGGGGGGCTGTACATCGGTAATACTTCGCTGTGGTGATCGGGGAGCGTGGGGGGAGTGCTGGTTAAAAGAAAAAGAACAGGGACGGAGAAAATTCCTACGCAAAAAAAAAAAAAAAATTAAAAATGGGATGACGTGCTTCTGGGTGGAAATGGTCTTGGACCCTTGGATCCTGCCGGGGGGTGGGGGGAGGGATGGGGAGAGAAGGGGTGACGGGGGGAGAGTTTGGCCAAAAGTTCCCACAGAAGCTGACTCCTGCCCCGTAACTCCCACCCACCCCCCATCCTGTTCACCTTCAAAACCTATTTGTACTGATGTCAGAGAGGAAGGGGGAGGGAGGAAGGGAGAGAGAAACATCCACGAGGAGAGAGAACCATGGACCGGCTGCCTCCCCGCACCCCGGGCCTGTTCCCTGACGGGGAATCGAACCCCCGACCTCCTGGTTCCTAGGGTGACACTCAGCCACGGAGCCATGGACCACGCCAGCCAGGCCCATCCTGTTCATCTTTAAATCCAAGGAGGAAGGTGTTTGTGTTTTTTTTTTTTTAAAGCTTCATGAGAATGGGAGAGGCTGGACAGGGCGGGGCCAGGCGGCCCCCATGCAAGGCCCAACGTCACACTAAGGGGGAGCACAGACACCCAGGGGCCCCTCTTCCCTTGGGGACACCCCCCCCCATACACACACCCGGCAAATCCAACCCTTCTCACCCATCGGGCACTCGGCAGCGGGTGAGGGGAGGGCTCAGGCGGCCGTCAGCCGTAAGCCGGACGGTGCACCCAGTCCTGGCAGGGACCCTTTCAACCTTCTGGCACTTGGGTGGGCTTTTTTTTTTAAAAATATATAGGAGTATTGACTCAGAGAGGAAGGGAGAGGGAGTGAGGGAGGGACATCCATGAGGAGAGAGAAGCCGTGGGCCGGCCGCTTCCTGCACGCCCCCCCACGGGGGACACCACCCAGGCACGTTCCCTGACCCGGAACCCAGCCTCGACCTCCCGGTTCCTAGGTCGACGCTCAAACCACTGAGCCACCCAGGCCGGCCCAGTGAATGATGTCTTATTTTTTTTTAAATGGGTTTCCACAAAATCCGCGCTCGTGTGCCTGTGATGTCGGGGTGCTGTTGCCCCAGGTCCCTAGCGGGGCAGGGGAGGGGGCGCCGTGACCCTGTGCGGCCCGCGTAGCACCACCTGCTTCTGGCGAGAAAGGACGCGGGCTCTTCCGGGACCCCCAGACGGCCCTCTGTGCGGGACACAGAGAGCCCGAGGGCCACCTGTGAACCCCCTCTCCCCCCCCTGCCCCCAGTCGCCCTCCCCGGGCCCGAGCCGGGACCCAGGGCGTGGGGAGGGCTGGGTTTCCCTGGAGAGAGCCAAGGTCAGACCCCGGAGGCTGCCCCGGTGTTCGTGGGGGGCCTTCAGCTCTAAAGGGGGGTACAGCCGGATCCACAGGGCACCCCCAGCCGCGTCCCCATCCCGGGCACCGCTTCCCGTGGGTACGGAGCACCCAGGGCCATCCTGGGCCCCCCCTCCTGACGGCCGTGGGACCCAGGAGGCTGCGGGGAGCAGACAGCCGCTCCCCTCCTATGGCTGAGACAAAAACAAAAATAAAAAAATAAAGGGGGTGCCCTCGCGTGGGATGGCAGTCTCCCCCGTGGCTGGGTCCGGGGTCTCTCAAAGGCCCACGCCCCCACTCAGACAAGCGTCCTATTCTGGCCCCAGCCCCCCCCCCCCACGACCTTCACCTTGACCTTGGTGGGAGGGGAGTTTTCATCTCAGATGACAGAAGGCTGTCCCCCGAGGGTCTTCCGTGGGGCAAGGGGGGCCCTGAGGGAGGGCGGTGTCCAGCCCCCCGGCCCCCCGCCCGCCCGCCCTCGCCACCTGAGCTTGGCCGGAGATGCATGGCTTCCCCCTCCTGTCCCCTCCCTGTAGGTCAGGGCTGGTCCTGGGAGCCCCAGGCCGGGCTGAGGGGGGCCTGGAGGGGTTCCCTCCTAAGGCCCCCTGCCCCCCAGGCCAGACCCACACCAGCCTAGGGCCCAGGAGCCGCCCGGGACAGGAAGGCACACCTGCTCCTGTGTCCGTGCTTTTTAAGGCAATGTCACCCTTCCACCCCGCCCGGCCCGGGCCCGTCACCGAAAGGAGGCACCCTGGACCCCAGTGCTCTCTTTGGGAAAAAGCAAACGCCCCCCCCCAGCCCTCCCCCACCCCCACCTCCACCCCCCACCCCCCATCCCGCCTCTAAACAAACCAGCTGCTCCCAGCCCACCGAGGGCGCTGCGCTGGGGTCCTCCCCCGCCTTCCTGGTCCCAGCCCCTCCCTCCCCCCAACGCCAGGCCCAGGGCTCCTGGGGGGTGTGGGGGCTCCCTGCCCCCCTCGCCTTCAGGGGAGAGGGGGGCCTTTTCGGGGGGGACGGGCGCAGAGAAGGACTTTGGATACAATTCCTGAACCTGGAGTGTGAGTTCCTGAGACGTGAAATGATGCGTTCAGAGTGTGGCTTTGGGGGGGGAGAGGGGGGAGCCACGGGAAACAGCTTTGGGAGGAGGGACCCCCCTCTCCCCCCCTGCCCCAGGCCTGGGAACGGGCACGAAGGCATTTCGCCCCACGGCCAAGAGGGGGCGCCGTCCCGTCGCCCAGGCCTCCCCATGCCCGTGACCCCGAACGGCCCACTCTCTCCCTCCCTTGTGGGGATCCATCCTGGACACCCATGCCCACCTGGGTGCCTACCCAGAACCCGCCCCCCACCCCTCACGCCACCGGCCAGTCCCCGCTGACTCCGAGCACTTGGGCGTGGGCACCAGCTGCCACCCCCGTGGTCCCCGGAGCAGAGGGTGCCGTCCCCTCGGGGCGGCCCTGCAGCCGTGGCCGGGGTGGGGGGCAGGGGGCTGTGAGCGCCAGCCAGGCCTTGGCCACCCCAGCGGCCTGTGAGCACCCACACCCTGAGCGAGCGAGCGAGGGGGGTGGGTGCCAGCAGGGTGGCTACCTCCAAGGCACTCTGGGCCCCGGACGCCCGTCTACGGTCCCCTGAGGTCCCCCCAGGGTCATTCCTGCTCATCGAGGCGGGCAGAGGGCCCTGTGAGATCCCCCCAAGTCCGCCCCGAACCCACACCCGCAGCCCCCCAACACACACACACACACACACGTACACACACGCGTACACACACGCGTACACACACATGCACTGGCCTGCGGGCTCCTGTGTCCAGGCCCGGCTCTCCCCGGCTGTCTGCAGGCAGATGGACAGCACACAGGGGTCCCCGGCCTCCGGGACCGTGCCAGGGCTCGAACCCGCCGCCGGCCCAGGCCTGGGGTCCGTCGGGAGGAACGTGCAGGCTCTCTGTGCTCTTCCCTGGCGTCTGGAGGGTTTGCTCGGGACACGCAGGGGGACAGGAGGGGTCCCGGCGGCCGAGCATCCGAAACTCGCCATCTGCCGGCGTCCGGGCCGTGAGGAAGCAGAAGGCAGGGTCCCGAAGGCATGTCTGTCCCGGTTCACCCGGAATTTCCCAGTCACCGCGTGGACGGAGCCTCGTGGGCGGGCGGCCGGAGGACCCCACGCATCACCAGTTCAGACGGAGGCGTCCCTGGAGCAGAGGGCGGGCCGGTGGGGAGACGGAGAGCGGGGTCCGATCCGGAACCGTCCCCGGTGCCTGGTGCAGGGACGCTGGGCAGGCAGCGAGCATCCCCGGTGAGGTCCTGGCTGTCTCGGGAGCCGTCCACGGTGCCGTGTCTCCCAGCCGGCCTCTGTCCCTCCGGTCCAGGGCCCCTCGGAGAGGCCAGAGGGAGGGTCCCCGAGGCAGGAACGGGGAGACCGTCCCCGGGGGCGCAGGGGGGCAGGGGAGAGGGCTGCTCCTTCGCCCCTTGTCCCGGCTCCTCCGCTTAAGGCACGGCCGCTCAGAGCCGGCTACGCCGCTGGGCCCCGGGCCAGAGGGGTCACCAGCTCTGCCACCTGCTGCTGGCCGCCGGCCGCCACCTTCTCCGCGGAGTCCTCGGCGGCGGGGGGCGGGGGAAACTCGAGTGCAAACGTCTGTCCAGAGTCACGGAACGCGTCCGTCCCTGAGAAAGGGGTGTCGCACACGGACGCCCCTCCGTGGGTCAGTCCCTTGTGCAATCGGTGGGGAAGGGTGTTTGTGTTTGTTTGTTTGTTTAAAAAACAACTTTTTTTCCCCTTACAAATCGAGTCTGACACCTGAGGTGAAGAAGATTGAGGGAGGGAAGGGGTGGCCTGCATCCATGTCTCTCTCTCTCTCTCTCTTTCTCTCTCTCTCTTTTATAGATTTTCCACAGAGAGGAAGGGAGAGGGATAGAGAGCTAGAAATATCGATGAGAGAGAGACATCGACCAGCTGCCTCCTGCACGCCCCCTACCGGGGACGTGCCCGCAACCAAGGTCCATGCCCTTGGCCGGAATCGAACCCGGGACCCTTCAGTCCGCAGGCCGACGCTCTAGCCACTGAGCCACACCGGTTTCGGCGCTTCTCTCTCTCTCTCTCTCTCTCTCTCTCTCTCTCTCTCTCTCTCTCTCTCTCTCATGAATCCTGTCCCCTGGAGACAGCAGAGGGAGGGAGGGAGGGAGGGAGGGAGACACAGAGAGACACACATCGATGGCTCGCTTCACTCTCCTGCTCCCACCAATGAGGAGGTACCTGCCCTTGACCGTGACTCGAACTTGGGGAACCTGGGGCCCTTGGGCTTGCAGGCTTTTCTTCTTTCCTTTTCTTTTTTCTTTCCAGATGACTAAAGAGAAAGAGGGATCCCAGGAGGATGGGAGAGAGCATCTGAATGCTCATGGCTGCCCTGGGGGGGGGGGGGGCGAGAGAGAGAGAGAGAGAGAGAGAGACCGGGGGACCTCCGTGCGCACAGGAGACACAGGAGCGCACGGGAGCGCACAGGGCGGAGGCGCGCGGCGGAGGCGCGCAGGCCGGTGTTGCGCCGAGTTGGGGACGGGTCTATGCTGTTTTGGGGGGTCCCTCGCCGGCGGGGGGTCCTCAGGGCGGGCTGGCCGGGCTGGGGTCGAGTCTGTGCTGTTTTGGGGGGTCCCTCGCCGGCCGGGGGTCCTCAGGGCGGACTGGCCGGCGGGTCTGTGCTGTTTTGGGGGGTCCCTCGCCGGCGGGGGGTCCTCAGGGCGGGCTGGCCGGGCTGGCGGGCGGGCTGCTGGCGTCGGAGCGGCTGTGGTCGCTGAGCGAGCCGGGGCGGGAGCCCCCGGAGCCGCACCCCCCGCCGCGGCGCGGCAGCAGCCCCGCGTGGAAGCCGGCGTGGCGGCGCGCGTGCTTGGTGAGGTGGTCGCTGCGCATGAAGCGCTTGCCGCACAGCGGGCAGCCGAAGCGCTTCTCGCCCGTGTGCGTGCGGTGGTGGCGCGCCAGCTCGTCCGAGCGCGCGAACCGCTTGCTGCAGGCGGGCCAGCCGCAGGCGAAGGGCCGCTCTCCTGCGGGCGGAGGGGGACACGTCAGCGGGCGGGCGCACGGGGCGTAGCCACCCTGCACCCCCTCCCCAGACCCGCCCTCCCCAGACACCCCCTCCCAGACACCCCCTCCCCAGACCCCCGTTTGGGGACCCGGGGCCAGGCGCGCGCTGGGGCGGGGACCCAGCAGGTGCGCGCAGCAGGGGCGCGGGCGGGTGGCTGGTGCGCGCAGGGCGGGGCCCCGGGGTCCAAGGCCGGGTGCTGGGAGGCGGGGGGCGGGCAGGGAGGGAGGGGGAGCCGGTGGGTGCAGGACAGGGCGGGGTGCAGCGTCCCGGGCCGGGAAGCGGCGCGATTGCCTCATCTCACCGGGAACAGCGCGTCCCGAGCCCAGAGCGCGCTGGCACCGCCCAGGCCCGGACGGCGCGTTCCCTCCCGGAGCCGGGGCGGGGCGGCCGGGGCGGGGCGCTCGGGGTTCCCCTCCCCTTCCCTCTCCTCCCCTCCCCTCCCCTCCAGCCCTCCTCTGGGGGCCCCTCAGCCCCACCCAGGCCCCCCTCCCCTGGTCCTCCCCGGCGCCGCCCCCAGCCCAGCCCGGGCCCCGGGGACCCCCCTCCCGCCCCGCACCCCGGGGACAGGGCCTGCTCGCTCCCCGCCCCCCCCACCCCCCCACCCCCGGTTCGGGTCCTGGGGTCCAGGGCACAGGCCTGGGGGTGAGGTCTCCATCCCCAGGAGCAGGCGCGCAGGAGGCAGCCGGTCCATGATTCTGTCTCATCATTGATGTTTCTATCCCCCTCTCCCTGTCCCTCCCTCCCTGACATCCATACTAACATATTTTCTTTAAAATAAAAATCACACAACAAGTAAAGGGCCTGTGCCAGTGTCTCCACGCAGCCCCGCCCACCCAGCAGCCCCCACGGGGGAGGGGCCATGTCTGCACCCACGGAACCACCCCTGGGGCCTTTATTATTATTTTATTATTATTATTATAAATACATCTTATTGATTTTTTACAGGGAGGGAGGGAGAGGGAGAGTTAGAAACAGCGATGAGAGAGAAACACCCATCAGCTGCCTCCTGCACGCCCCCCACCGGGGATGTGCCCGCAACCAAGGCCCATGCCCTTGACCGGGAATCGAACCCGGGACCCTTCCGTCCGCAGGCCGACGCTCTATCCACGGAGCCACAGAGCTTCGTTTTACTTTATTTTCCACAGATGGGGGACCCTGGCCCACAGGCACCCGTAGGCCTCAGGGGGTGGGGCTGTAGGTTCGGAGGCACCTTCCCCCACCACCACCCATAAAGCCAGTTTCCAAGCCGACAGTGGGGGACCCCCAGGCCCCTGAAGCCACCTGCTGCCCTGCCGCCCGCCCACAGCTCCCCTTACAGGACCTGCTCCTCGGAAGGGGGTGTGTGCTGTGCGGGGAGGGGGGTCCTCAGAGTCAGGGGGACAAACAGCAGCCACGTCCAGGCCGCCGCTCTGCCCGGGGGGCACCCGCCACTCAGAAGACTTAAAAGGGAGACATTTGCCCGGCAGCCACAGGAGCCATGCGGGAATGATGGCCTCCACGTAGCTCCGTGCGCCCTTCCATGCCTGCCTGTCTGCCTGTCTGTCTGTCTGTCTGCGGAGAGCCAGCCCGGGAGGTGGGGGCAGGGCAGGGGGGCACGGGGGCGGGCAGCCGGGTGCTGGCAGCAGGCCGAGCCCCTCCCAGGTGGCTGAGGGCGGCCGCCGCCCGCCCAGCTGTCGGCTGTGGTCACGCATGGCCACGGGGAGGGGTTGGAGGGACGGGGGGCCCTCAGAGACTCCGAGAAGCCACCCTGGGGGCCCCACGCCATCCCCTTCTCCCCTCGGAGGGAGGGAGGGAGGGAGGGCAGGGCCCGGCCCGGCCAGGGCAGACGGCACCGCTCCCGCCCGCTGCCACCTGGCACGGGCACCCAGGCCGGGGAGGGGGGCCCCTCTCCCTCGGAGCTTGAGCAACCATCTGTCCTACTTCTGCTTCCTGTGTCTCTCGGCCCGGCCTCCCCTCCCCGTCCGCGCTCCCTCCTCCCCTCCTCCCCCCTCCCTCCGCCTCCTGGGTGGGTCTCGGCAGCCAGCGGGCCCAGGCAACTGGCCGCACCAGCTCCGCAGGTGTGCCGATTTGGTTGTGGGTTCGATTCCCAGCCCCCACAACCCCCCTCCCCCATGGGAGGCAGCCAATTGGTGTATCTCTCTCATGAGGGCGTGTGTGTGTGTGTGTGTGTGTGTGTGTGTGTGTGAATCCCTCTCCCCGGTCCCCTTCCGTCCCTCTGAAAATCAGCCTCATTCCTGCGGTGGATTTATTTTTTTTTAATTTTAAAAAAACATGTTTTAAATATATTTTTGTTGATTTCAGAGAGGGAGGAGGAGGAGGAGGAGGAGAGAGAGAGAGAGAGAGAGAGAGAGAGAGAGAGAGAGAAGCTTCCATGCTGAGGGAGAATCACGGACCGGCCACCTCCTGCACAGCCCCCCAGGTGTGTGCCCTCGACGGGGAATCGAACCCTGACCCTCTGGCTCCGAGGTTGAGGCTCCAGCCCTGAGCCACCCCGGCCTGCCGGCAGGGCTGCGGAAACTATTTTGTTTAAAAAAGCCGCTTGCAGAGCCCGGCCAGAGTGGACGGGCGGACAGATCAATACGCAAGTTGTGGGATCTATAATAATAATAAAAGCGTAATATGCTGATTAGACCGGACAGCCGAACAACCTTGGTTAGGGGCGATCAGGCAGGGGAGTGGTTAGGGGCGATCAGGCAGGGGAGTGGTTAGGGGCGATCAGGCAGGGGAGTGGTTAGGGGCGATCAGGCAGGAGAGTGGTTAGGGGCGATCAGGCAGGAGAGTGGTTAGGGGCGATCAGGCAGGAGAGTGGTTAGGGGCGATCAGGCAGGGGAGTGGTTAGGGGCGATCAGGCAGGGGAGTGGTTAGGGGCGATCAGGCAGGGGAGTGGTTAGGGGCGATCAGGCAGGTGAGTGGTTAGGGGCGAGCAGGCAGGTGAGTGGTTAGGGGCGATCAGGCAGGCAGGCGAGCGGTTAGGAGCCCTGCGGTGTCCGGCCCAAACCGGCAGTCGGACGGACACCCCCCGAGGGTGGCACACGCGTGGCTGCGCGTGGCGGGAGGGCCACACGCGTGCGGATCACACAGAGGTGGCGTGTCTGCCCCGCCCCCGCCGGCCTCCTGCGGGGGGTCCTTTCTCACACTGGAGAGTTTCCGTTCCCAGGTCCCGCGTCTGCTTTGTTTTCTTCCCAACCCTCCCCCAGGGTATTTTTCCAACGGTTTCTATTTTTTCATTTTTTAAAAATATATTGTATTGATTTTTTTTTTACAGAGAGGAAGGGACAGCGAGCTAGAAACATCGATGAGAGAGAAACACCGATCAGCTGCCTCCTGCCCACCCCGCATCAGGGACGTGCCCGCAACCAAGGTCCATGCCCTTGGCCGGAATCGGACCCGGGACCCTTCCGTCCGCAGGCTGACGCTCTATCCACTGAGCCACACTAAGGCTAGAGCCAAGCTAACCCTTTTTTTTTTTTTTTCAATGTGGGCGATGAGGTGCTCGGGGATAATGGACGCAGTGTGGGGACCTCCAGGCCAGGCCCCAGCCCCCCCAATCCTCCTCCGAGGGACAGCAGAGCACCCTGGGCTGGGTGGGGCCGGGTCTGGGCCTGGGCCTCCCCGCAGCCAGGCGCCACGTCTGACCCCGGAGCCCGGGAGCCCTGGGGAGCTCCCCGTTCCCAGAGGGGGGTGAGCCGGGCCGGCTGAGGCTGTGGGGGGGGGGGTGCGGACAGAGTGGGGTGTCCTTCCCAGAGGCTCCCTGAGACACCCCCTTCCTCTCCTGCACGTGAGCACCCTGCAGGCCGGGGACCTCAGGGAGAGAGGGGGCTGGGCGGGGTCCCCGCCTGCCCCCACGACCCCTCCCCGCAGGCCCAGCTGCAGCCACTCCGTGTGGGAACCCGGCCCTTCCCTCCCGGGAGCCATGCTGGGCATGTGTGCATGCGTGTGCGTGTGTATGTGTGTCTGTGCATGTGTGTGTGTCTGTGTGTCTGTGCGTGCACGCGTGTGTGTCTGTGTGTGCGTGTGAGTGTCTGTGTGTGTGTCTGTCTGTGTGTGTGTGCGTGTGTGTGTCTGTGTGTCTGTGCCTGTGTGTGCCTGTGTGCCTGTGTGCCTGTGTGTCTGTGTGTGCGTGTCTGTCTGTCTGTGTGTGCATGTATGAGTGTGTGTGCCTGTCTGTGTGAGTGTGTGTGTGTCTGTGTGTGCGTGTGTCTGTGTGTCTGTGTGTCTGTGTGTGTCTGTGTGTGCGTGTGAGTGTCTGTGTGTGTGTCTGTCTGTGTGTGTGTGCGTGTGTGTCTGTGTGTGTGTGAGTGTCTGTGTGTGCGTGTGTGTCTGTCTGTGAGTCTGTGTGCGTGTGTGTGTCTGTGCCTGTGTGTGCCTGTGTGCCTGTGTGCCTGTGTGTCTGTGTGTGCGTGTCTGTCTGTCTGTGTGTGCATGTATGAGTGTGTGTGCCTGTCTGTGTGAGTGTGTGTGTGTCTGTGTGTGCGTCTGTGTGTGTGTCTGTGTGTCTGTGTGTGTGTGTGTGTGCGTGTGTGGGTCTGTGTGTGCGTGTGTGTGTGTGTCTGTGCCTGTGTGTGCGTATGTGTCTGTGTGTCTGTGTGTGCGTGTCTGTCTGTGTGCGTGTGTGCGCGCGTGTGTGCGTGTGTGAGTGTCTGTGTGTGTGTGTGTGTGTGTGTGTGTCTGTGTGTGCGTGTGTGCCTCCGTCGGCGGGGAGGGTCAGGGTGGAAATGCTGGGGCTAAAATTAGCCCGAGGCAAACAATCGCAGGCCAGGGCGGCCGCGGGGTCAGCCGAGGACAGCGAGGACGGCGAGGACGGCGTCTGTTGCTGCTGTGGCCGGGGCAGAGGGATGAGGGCCGTAAAGGGAATTGAGAACGAAAACGGGTCTGCACGGGGACCAGCACCAGCACCACGGGGACGGGGACGGGGACGGGGACGGGGACGGGGATGGGGACACGGAGACGGGGACGGGG